ATATATATATATATATATATATATATATATATATATATATATATATAATATATATATATGCGTCATTCAATGTCAAAATAAATTGGCAAATTGGCATTAAATAAAAAATATCTGTGTTTTATAAATTAGAAAATAATCAATGAAAAAGTGAAATCAAATTTTGACAAAATATTGTAAAATAAATAAAAAACAATTATCCCAAACTTCTATATTTTATATTAGACAGTAGTTGTAGAATTAATCACCCCCTTTTTTGTGACTATTCTAATTCAATACAGAGAAAACAAATATTGAAAGTACAAGTCAGGGAAAGATGCAAAATGATTTTTATGAGTTTTATTAAATCCATCATCAGAAATGGAAGTTAAGTTTGACTCGGGTAATTTTTCCAGGTCATTTTTACAAATTAAGAGACCAAACAAGGAGGGGTGAGTGACAGAGGCTGCCAACACACCTGTGACCACCCTGAAGGAGTTACAGTCGTCAGCAGTTGAGCTGGGGGAAACTGTGCATACAGAACAGTGTTTTTGACAGACATTATGTTGTCCTTCAGGATTTACGAATATTTTGCAGCATTTATTTCACCTCTTGTCATTGCAAGCCTCCCAGGCCAGCTGCACTGTAGCACATGACTTTTATAACTTCTACATGTCGTTTGTAAAACTCTAGTTGAAATTTAATATGAGTTTTCTTTAACTCTGACTTTTGTCTTTGCCACTCTTCAATAAAGCTTACACTGGTGAAGAATCTGGTTGATAGTAAAAGGGGAGGAATCCTGTTTATAGGCAATATAAGTTTATGTAACTTCATACACTTTGCTGCTCCTCTTTATAGCTGATATTCACATTTATATGCATGTATAATGCTGACATAAACTGAGGCTCAAGATGGAAAAAAAGTCTTCAGAGACCGAGATATCTTGGATAAAAATTGGAGTCGTAGGGGATAAAAAGTGAAAATAGGTGAAGGGTCCCAAGTGGGACAGTGTGTGAGAATGAAATAAATTAGATAAGTGAGAAACCAGCAGAGTGTAAAGCAAACAGTATAAAAGCTAAACAAAGGAAAATGGCTTTGGATTGAGCTGAAAAACATTGAGTGTATTCAGTTTTTTTCAACCAGTTTTTAGACCTCAGCTAGTAGATTAAAATTAATTGGATCTTTTCTGATATGTAGTAGCCTCTCAATGTGCAGTTAAAAGAAACTAAATCATCATTCATGAAAATGCTAAATGTGATGAGAAAGAGAGGCTAATGACAAATTTAAATTCACTCTGGATTAAAAAAATAAATAAATGTTTTTTTTTTTCATCAAGAGTTACCATAATGAATACGCTCCCCAAGACACAGCTCTGCCTTCACAAACACAGTTAAAGAAAAGCTGCATATTATTTATTCAGTAAGACATAATTACATTTAGCTCAACGTGAAGTTGCACAAGGATCCATGTCACTGAACCAGCTGAGAATGTGCTCACTGCTTCTAAAAATCAACTCAGATTCTGGCTTTTATGAGTAAGACTCAGTGAAAGCAGTTTCCCACACAGACACAATAAAGTGAAATGTCTGCAGAAAGCATTAGCAATTTCTTTTTGAAAGCTGTTCAATGCAAAATGTCAGTTACAGTGGAAAAAAGGTAATGCAAGAGTGAAAGAAGTCAGGAGGTAAAATGGAGAAGCAGGAGATGAAAGGCTGCTGACAGACAGACTGGCTGTGGAAAAGATGTTACAAGAAGGATGAAGGAAGCTCAGCTGAACTCAGAAACACACAACAGTTCGAGCAGCAAAGAGGGAATTTGATGTTTGGCAGACTCTTTTGACTTTCAGCTTCAATCCGGCCATACATCAAGACAAATCTGAGTGTAAAAAAAACAAAACCCACTTGAGTTGAGTCTTAATTTCCTGTTGTAATTATTGTTCTATACAGCTGATACAATCTTTCAAATTCCAAACTAAAATTTAACAGTATAAGGCCAATTGAGAGCTTTTACAATGAAACCTTAGATCTTCCACTTTAATACAAACGTAATCCTTAACTCATGCACTGAATGATAAAGTGTAGCTTCAGGGTGGTTGTGGGGAGTATTGGAAACAATGAGCTACTGGGCATAAATTGTAATGACATAAAATTATTTTTAATTGAATTACACCAACAGAGAAATGAACAGCACTCACATTAAACTCAACTTCAAGACATCACAGTTTAAGTCATTATCATTTATTGTTTATTATTATTATTATTATTATTATTATTATTATTATTATTAGTAGTAGTAGTAGTAGTAGTAGTAGTAGTAGTAGTAGTAGTAGTAGTAAAAAATCCATAATTTGATAAGCTAGTTAAGTAGAAATATATAATAAAAAAAAGTGATTAAAACCATTTCTCTGTAAGTAGGAACAACTTATTTTTCCTTCTGCAATGCAATAAATAAATAAATTAAACACTTTTTTTTGGTCTTCTTTCAGGGCAACCTAAACTGTCCATTAACAACCTTTAGAGGTCTTGCTTGTGTGAAAAATGTTCTCTAACACAAGTACCAACAAAAATATTAACTGCTCATTATCCACCAATTTAATTAATTTTTTTAGTTTGAGCATTGGGCCAGTGAAGTCATTATATATTTTTTCATCCTTTACTTTGCCCCTACTGGTTCATCTGTATTCAACATAGGCTCTGCTCCCACAGTCAAGAAACCCACATCCAGTCTGGGTTTCTCAGACTGTAACAAAGTCTGGAACTCTCTTTATATTTCATCCAGCTTCTGTAAATTTTCTAGACGGGTCATTGCACAATAGATCTTCCCGTGTCATGTAAATTAGACATCATGTGTCAGAAAGTGCCCTTGGTCAGGCCTCAAGTTGCCACTGAAGTCTGGTAATGTGTGCATGGTGGAGAAAACAAATGCTCTGTGTATGACTGGTTGAATTAAAAACATAACGTGATTTTGGACCACGGAAGTCCTCTTTCCATTCTTCATCACTATTTGATGTAGATTGTTTTGGTTTTGTTTGTCGTTTTTATACTGCTTGTTAGAGCTGCTATTTCGAGCCAAAATTATGTGATTGATGGGCGGGCCGGGTCGGGCTCGGGGTTTTGATGCAGTTTTAATTGTTCATGTGGCCCCGCCCGCCCTTTGGTCTTATCACACATCTGAGGATTTACAGTTGACCCACAACAAGCGACATGATGGAGCTGGAAAGTATTGAACAAAAACTCAGAGTGGGAGAACTCGCTCTACAAAGCCAGCACGGTGAAACTTGCTGATGTGCGTCAGGTGCACGTTCAGAGTCGACCGGCCAGTTGAAAGAGGTAAAAAAAAGTTGCGTTAAGCTTCAGATAAACAACCGGATCATCGTCCATGTGTGTCTGCTGGCCGGCCAGTTGAAAGCGGTAAAATAATGTTGCATTAAGTTTCAGATGGATAACCGGATCATCGACCGCGCATGCCGCTCTGCACCCTGCTGTCATCTGCAGTGAATGAAGTTGCAGCATCTGAAGCTACAAAAGCCGAAGCGAGCAGGGTGTTCATTTAAAATAGCCTTGTTCTGTATTTTTCTAAATAATTTTGCTCTAAAAATATTTTTGTTCATCTGTATAATAGCCTAGCTTTAAAGTTGATCTTTTTAGGCTATTGGTTTGGTATGTTAATTTCCATTTGGTGACTTGTTAATAAATAACCTAACAAAGGGAAGAAATTGTATATCTTCCCTTTGTTATGTTTTTTAAAATATCACATCAAACTGATTTGCTTACAAAAGCAGTAAAAGCTTAATATTTTTTTTGGGGGGGGGGGGGGGGGTTGTTCAGGACGGTAATTACTGTTAATTGGTCGGGTCGGGTTCAGAAAAAAAACCTGCTGGCTCGGGCCGGGCTGGGTCAGATTTTTTAGGCCGAATGCAACTCTACTGCTTGTACTCTAGCAATTTGTAATTGCTTCCACAGTCCTTTTTAGTGCCGCCTTCAGAATGTAGGGATGCTCTGCTGGTGTCTGTACCTTGATTAGCCAAGCAAGCTGAATGTTCGTCCTGAACTCTGAGTCTTTAAGCTACGGTTGTACATCTAAAGTAGAAGCTACAAAACTGCCAGTGTCTGCTACGACATGCTTACCTGTAAAACGTGCAGCACAAAGAAGACTGATCTGTTGTATGATTCTTTTATTCTTATAAGTGCTTCTGAAGTTTTATAGCCCTCTTTTAATTTATACTTGTTCTAAAGAAGAAAAATAATTTTAAACAAAAAACAAACAAAAAAAAAAATAACACACAGCTTATGGTCTGTTCCATTCTTATTTTTGGTGAATTATAATAAGTATAATGGTCTTGTTGGTCATTGCTTTAGTGTTATTCAATCACCACATTCCTTTGGTGGTTTAAACTATATTGTTGAGCCTGGTCAATATGTCCAGTAAGCGGTACCATGTACTAAAATTGTTGATGTTTGTGTTAATCATTGTGTGCCCACATGAGCTTTAGAAGTTCAGCATGTGATGATGGATCGTCAGTGTCTGCTAGCAGGCATGCTTTCCCATAATTCCTTACATATGGTGAGAGGCACACACGCTTTCTTAACCACGTCATTAACTTTTAATTTCCCATTTGAGTAAGTCAGAAAATAGAATGCAATAACTTTTGTTCCATGTTTGGTGACTGCCATAAAAAAAGAAAATGTATCACAGCAGCTTTTGTGCAATAATCCTTGTTAAACGAATAAACAAAGACAACACAAGCGGTTGGCAAGCTCTGTCCCAAACTGTCAGCTTGCATTCTTCAATAAATGAATACCTTATACACTCCTAATTCTTTGTCATCATCCCGTTGCAGTGCTTTACTATCAATAACAAACAGCTCTCAAAACAAAGTGACACCTCCCCCTTTCTTCATCCATCCTTTTCTCTTTCTCTCTGTCCAGAGCTAATAGATGGAACCCCCACCTTAAAAATCAACCATGGCTCCGGCACTCTGGTGCTTCAGTTGCCAGGGAACGTCAACGTTGCAGACAGGCGCTGGCATCGACTGGATGTTCGCAGCAACAGCAAGGTGAAACACATCATCCGTTTAACGCTAGCTGTCACTTGTTTAGGAAAGAGGCTCCAACCCCCCCGTGCTTTAAACCTTCAGGCATTTCAACTCGTGCTGCTCCTGCAATCACATGTGAACTTTTAAATACACATGGAATTAACTATTTAAAATGCCTTGCAATGTATACAAATATAAGGTTAAGTTAAAAAACATTTGTGAACATGAATAATGTTCTTACCCCTTGGAAGACCTTGGGGGGGGGGCAGCCATACATTTATTTTTGTCTGTGTTTTTCTTTATGAATTTATTTTGGTGCAGTCAATAAACACATTTTTATCTTCCTGACAAGCCCCCCCCCCCCCCCCCCCCCCCCCTGTCACAATTGTTTCAAATGCCCCTGTATCCTCACAGTAACATTACTTCACTCTTGTGTTTCTTAGGGGAAGATTGGCCATACAGAAAATCCATCATAAATACATTTTTAATCCCTTTTTTTAATCTGAAAGGTGTTTTTTTTTTTTTTTTTTAATCCTTTAAGACGGGGTGCCCACACATTTTCAGCATGCGAGCTACTTTTAAAATGGCCAAGTCCAATTGATCTTCCTACTATAAAAATACAAAACATATACTTTTTTTTTGTTTTTAGTTTTCTACACCGTCTCTTAATCTAGCTGTTTTTTTTCACTACTTTTTCCTTTTGACTGTCCTTTTGGTTGCCATTTTATTTTAATTTATAAAAAAAATGGTATGCCTCTGATTGTCTATTGTTGTTATCCACTGTTATCATCACTCTGTTAAATAAATCAGGTCTCTTGTAAATGAGTCCTCGAGGCTCAGTGGGATTAACCTGTATAAATAAAGGTTGAATGAATATTTATTTATAATCATACTGAGTATGATTTTTTTTATGTTTTACGTTCTTGTTTTTAGTATTTTACCTCGTTTTATATGGCATCTTGATTTATTTATTATTAACACTACTTTTATTTTAATTGCATTTTACTGTAGTTTATATGTTGTCTGTCTAAAACCGGTTTCTCTTGTAAATGAGTCCTTGTGACTCAATGAGACTAACCTGTTTAAATAAAAGTTGAATGAATGAATATGTCCCAGCTCGCTGTGGACACAACATAAATGACAAAACCCAAAAGTTTGTTTAAAAAAAAAGTGACAATTTATTTTGATTGTCCACATACAAAATAATAAACACAACCCAGCAATAACTTCTGTTCTTCACACAAAGGAACTGAAAGCAACAAGAATGACTTCATGTTTGGAAAATAACTAGAGAACTTGAGAACAAAAGTGAAAATTCAGACCTGACAGCAGCTGCCTTTAACTGTAACTATATTTCTTGATACCTGGAGAGCTTTGATGGAAGATAATATGGCTGGTTAGTTTTTAAAGTCTCTGAACGAGTCAGCTGCTTCATCAATTGCCTCTTTTATCACTTTTTGGGCTTAAAATATATTAAAGTTACTCACCTGGAATGATGCTTCGCTGCTCTGTAGGAAAATTTACCGCTGTCCGGATAACTGGGATTTTAGTTCCTTCGCTGTTTTCTTTCTCAGCTCACTTTTCAGAAGGAAGTCAGCACCGTAGTATTTATGAATATAGTCTGAAAATGCCGCTCCTTCACACTTGCAGATCAGGCAAATGCATTTCAAATATGACATTGTAAAAAAAAAGAAAGGTTGTCCTCCCAATCTGTATGGAAATTGTAGTTTTTTGCTTCCTACTTGGTCCAGCTGCCCAACTCATTTTACACACTTTCTTGAGTTTAGATTAGAAGAAATAAACTGGAGGCTATTACAAGTCACCGATTAGTATTTTGAATGCGTGGTGATCTATGCGTCAGAAAAGATCCGGTCTCTGATTGGCTGCCCTGTGTGTCAATCAAGTGAAGAATTGCATAGTGAAGATGGATTGATAGGTTGAAGTCTATAAAAAAATAAAATAAAAAAGTCTGACGTCTATTTCACCGTGCGATCTACTGAAATTGCCTTTGCAATTACCGGTAGATATCACGATCGCTGTATGGACACCACTGATCTAACAATTTAAAAAGTCATTTAAATTTGATATTGTATTTCAGGCTGAGATAGCTATAAAATTTTACCTTTTTTGTGTGTGGGGGTAAAATAACATTTAAAATTAGGGATGCACAATATTGGATTTTTGGCCGATATGCCGATATGTTAAAACTTTTTGGCTGATAACAATACGATACCGATATTTTAAATATACTTTCCTTTGTCAGAACATAGCTCTCTTATTTAGGCTTATTTGCTACAAAAATTGTGTAACAGCTGTAAGAGCTGGTGACATATATTCAGTAACAGCCATATGATATGCATAGCACTTGTATTAAGTTAAAAGTGTTAAATTTTACTTATTAGCATTACTCACCTGCGATGTTGTCTCACTTGTGGAGGCTTGTTCTGGGTTTCTAGCTGCAGTGTGGGATCCTCTGCACTCCTGCATGAAGGACAGCCTTTTTAAGTTCAAAGTCTTTGTCTATCCTTTGTGCTGTAAGACTAATCATGCTAACGGGGCTAACACTTGATGTCTGTGGTAAAACTCACCCAAGGTCTATCGGTTATTAGCTTCTCAATGACATCAGAAATGACGGCTTGTAACTCGGGTGAGTTATTTTGATGGAATGGCCATTGTCCGATATTTAACTTTAACACTAATATCAGCTGATACCATGCCGATAATATTGTGCATCCCTAATTAAAAATCTAATATTTTTATGCAGTTGAATAAGGTGGTTGATTATTTTCCCTAAGGAACACAAAGTTAACAAAGTTAAAGAGACTTCCAGGGGTTAACTTCTCTGCTTTGTTTTATTTATCAACTTTTATTGACTTACGAACACCTCTCAGTGTCACCTTATGTTGTAGACTTTGTTCATAAAATGTTCTGATGCTGAGTGTGTTTTTGTTTAATGTAAAAATGACAGTAAATCACAAACACAGTAAGGATGTAGTAAGCCTATCCTGGTCCCTGTGATGGACTTGCGACCCATCCAGGGTGTACCCCGCCCCTCGCACAGTGATTGTTGGACATGGGCACCAGCGACCCCCGTGACCCAAAATGAATAAACGGGTAAAGATAATGGATGGATGGATGAATGGATAAGCCTATCCTGAACACTCACCCCTCAGCTTTGGCCTCAGTTCAGCTGCAGAGCCTTTAGGCATTTGTGCATTTATAATTTAAAAAAAAGCATGTTTTGCACAACTCTGATGCTTACTGACACTGTTAAGATGCCTAAAGATTTATAGTAAGAATTTAATATATTGAGAATATACAGTAACTAAAGTAATGACTTGGTTTGCTGCTTACATACAAAGTTGTTTTTGCTTCACTTTCAGTGTTGTAGACCTGGTAGTGTAAGGAAAAGTGCAATATTTGGCTGTTATTCCAATATGGGGAGAAAAAAAAGGTATAGCTCATATTTTTTGTTATGTTTATTTTATAATTTATGGGATATAAATATTCCCAATTAATCTGTCCATCCAGGTAGGAAGAAGTAGCACCTTTAATGCAACATTGCTTTAAATATTAACATTGATTTCCACATGTTCGAATGCTTATTTGCAGCAGTAACACACAAGTAAATTATTTAAAAAAATCTTACATTGTGATTTCCGGATTTTTTTTTTTTTTTAGATTATGTCTCTCACAGTGGACATGCACCTAAGATGAAAATTTCAGACCCCTCCATGATTTCTTAGTGGGAGAACTTGCAAAGTTGCAGGGTGTTCAAATACTTATTTTCCTCACTGTACATCAAATGTATCTGTTTAGTTACACAACAGCCTGATTATTCCTCTCCAGATAATGAAGATGATATTGATGTGTTATTATAAAGCTGTCAGAGTTGCACAGTCAAAAGGGACATAATTGTAGGAAGAGTAAGACAGTTCACTGCATTAGTCTTTCTTTGACATTTTCTGTCCAGAATAGTTTCAAAATGAGTTTAACAGTTTGAATCTCCTTACATCCCTAAAGTTATATTCCTTTCTGTATCAACAAGGCTTTGAGAAAGCCTATTTTAGGAGACTTTGATGTAACACAGTTTGACAGCTTCAGACTTCTGTCTTACTTTGAGCAGGACACCTAAAAGCAGCTGGACAGGCTTTGCCTCTGCCTTCTTTTTTATCATCTTATAAAGAGGCTCCATTTAAGTAAAAGTAAAGAGCTGAGATTTTTCTGTGCTTTCTGCTAATGCAGCATAAGTGGTTTCATAGCCAGCTCAGCCACACGTCTCAAGGACCTGAAGTGAATAATTATACAATTATACAGTATTTATTTTATTAGGAACCACCTAATTGAGCTGATTGGACCTTCTTATACCTCCTTCAAATACAGACCAATTGTTTTAGGACAACTTCTGTCTTTATGAAACTTGCCTAAACCCTAGTTTACCTCACAATAAAACTTAAAAAAGAAAATGCTATATTGGGTATTGTTTTATTTTGTATTGATGTTTCATTTATATAAAAGTGGAATAAACAGCTTACAGCAATATGTTAACACAAAATGTCTTTAGCTGTTTGAACTGCATGGGTGCTTGAACGCGCTGAAATATTTGGTATTCCACCTGGGACTATTCTGCGTCTTGGTGAAATGATTTCACATCAAGCATAGATCTGTCAAACTGTCCTGTAAAATCAACAGAATAAATGCAGCATGTTGATGGAACAGCTTGAGTCCACAAGTAAATATACCAATCTCACTTTGTTCAATAACATGAAGTTTTTTTGTCCTCGCTTGCTCTCGGCAAAGACGGACGCTCTCTTTCCCTCTCCTGCCTCCTCTCCTGCTTTTGCTCTTGTGCTCTTTTTTTTTTTTTACCTTTTTCAGAGCGCTTTTTGCATACCTTCCAAATTGTAAACTATGGATTTGTTCAGCTGGTCTTTTAATGCAATTGATCAAATTTGCTCAGCCTGACCCAAAACAGTGTTGAAATCTGATCCTGGCTCTAGTCTTAGAAGGCTGACTACCTTAATTTCTCAATGTTATGGAAACAAGACGCTCTGATCCTCTCCTGCAACACCTCGGTTCTCTGGGCTCCTCTTCCCAGCCGAACCTCAGAAACCTTGGTGTTCTGTTCGACCAAATGTCTTTGGACAAACATTCAAAGCTTCTGGGTAAAAAAAAAAAAATATATATATATAAATAAACTACTGCTTTTATCATCTGAGAAACATTTCTAAACTGAGGGCAATGTTATCCAAATCTGACCTGGAGATGATTATTCATGTTTTTATCTTTTCTCGTTTAAATTAATTAAATTAATCTAATTCCCTTTTTACTTGTTTTAACAAAACTGCCATTGCTCGTCTCCAGTTGGTCCAGAACGCTGCTGCGAGGCTTTTAACAGGAACTAATAGAAGGTCTCACATTACACCGGTTTTATCTTCTCTTCATTGGCTGCCTGTTGAATTTAGAATTAATTTTAAAATTTTGGTCTTGACTTTAAGAGCTTTAAATGGAAAGGCCCCCCACTGAAATTTTGATCCCTTATTCTCCAACCTGGACCCTTCGATCTTAAGCAACGAACCTTCTAAAGGTTCCTAAGAACCTGGTTTAAAACTCGACGTGAGCTTTCCATTCAGGCTGTAGCCCCCCGGCTGTGGAATACCCTGCCCCTGTCTCTTCGTGTGACCGTCTCTGTTGATTCTTTCAAAACACAGCTTAAGACACTTTTATTCAGACAAGCTTTTATTTCAATGTTTATTTGCTGTTTTTATCAGCTGTTATTGTTTTTATCGGCTATTTTTACAGTTATTAATCAGCTGTTACTATTTTTGTTCTATTTTAAGCTTTTATTTTGTATTTTTGTACAGCATTTTGTGATTGTATCCATAAGTGCTATACAAATAAAGTTTACTTACTTACATACATTGGGAGCTGCAGCCCCGGTTCACTTCCGCCTACCCTTCAGAAAGCTGTACAGAACAAAATTTTGTTGTACTTAACTGTACTGTGACAATAAAGTTCATTTTGATTCAGAATGTAGTGACAACTTGTAGAAACAGAAATTAGTTCATAAAATAATGGTTCTTTTGGAAGTTTATTTAATTATTCATTTTATTAAAATTGGCCATTTTAAAATTTTGGTGCTCCAACATTTGCCAAGATAATATTATTTACAATTTATTGTAATGGTTGTTGTGGCACAGCGGTTGAAATTGAGCTTCACGTTCCTAAAACGGCATTTTCAGTCCTTCAAAAGACGACGAGTATAACATATAATTTAGTGGGATGTAAGCTGTCATGAACAAATGTAAAAATGGGCATTATCTACAAAAAACTATGTGTGCCTCCGCCTTTAGATATTTATAAATTGTTTAGACTTTTACCATTGATTAATGGATTATTTTTACAAATTTATTTTCTTGTTTTGTTTTTAGATTTTGAATTGTTTTATTACCTGACTTACATTTATGCTTGTTAGATCACAGGATCTGAGATTGTTTCTGATGTTTAAAATTTACACTAAAACAGCAGGGAGCCGAAGAGTAAAACTGTATATATTACTGAATGAAATGTGAGTCAGACACCATAGATGCACTTTGATAAAAATAATGCAACACATTGTTTGTTTTCCTCTGCAGGAAGTACGTTTTACTTTGGATCGATGCTCGGGGGCTGCAGTAATGGAAATGGAAGGTCTGGGCAGCTGGTTGACCACTGAAGACCACTCCTCCTGTGAAGTGACAGGTCTTACACCAAGCACTGACAGGTATGCTAACATTGGGTACATATGGACTTTAATTTGGAAAGACCAGCATCATCTTAGTCAGTCAAATGTTCAATTGTGGAATAAAGGGGTGGGAATTAAAACGTTCTTTTTTTTTTTTTTTTTTCGATTCATCCATTAATCGAAAAAATAATCGGCAGATGAATCGATTATTGAAATAATCGTTAGTTGTAGCCCTAAAGCCAATAGGACCACATCATCTGCAAAAAGCAGAGACACGATCATAATGCACCAAGACAGATCTCTTCAACACCTTGGCTGTGCCTATAAATTCTATCCATAAAAGTTGATGAACAGAATCGGAGACAAAGGGAAACCTTGGCGGAGTCCAACTCTCACCGGGAATGAGCCCAACTTACTGCTGTCAATGCGGACCAAGCTCTGACACCAGTCATACAGGGATCTAACAGCCCATATCAAAGGTCCTGGTAACCCATACTCCTGGAGTACCCTCCACAGGGTTCCCCGACGGACGCGGTCGAACGCCTTCTCCAAGTCTGCAAAGTACATGTAGACTGGTTAGGCAAACTCCCATGCACCCTCCAGGACCCTGCTGAGGGTATAGAGCTGGTCCAGTGTTCCACGACCAGGATGAAAACCACACTGCTCCTCCTGAATCCGAGGTTCAACTATCTGATGGACCCTCCTCTCCAAAACCCCCGAATAGACCTTACCAGGGAGGCTTAAGAGTGTGATCCCCCTGTAGTTGGAACACACTCTACGGTCCCCCTTTTTGAATAGAGGGACCACCACCCCGGTCTGCCAATCCAGGGAAACTTCCCCCGATGTCCACGCAATTTTGCAGAGTCGTGTAAGCCAACACAACCGTACAACATCCAGAGCCTTAAGGAACTCAATGTGAATCTCATCCACCCCTGGGGCCCTGCAACCGAGGAGCTTTTTAACCACCTTAATGACCTCAGCACCAGAGACTGAAGAGCCCGACCCAAAGTCCCCAGGCTCCGCTTCTCCGCCCACCAACCCACAACATCCCGAGTTGAGGTCAGTAGCACACCACCTCCACTATAAACAGTGTTGGTGGTGTACCGCTTCCTCCACGAGATGCCCGATGGTGGACCAGAATTGCCTCGAAACAATATGGAAGTCATTCTCCATAGCCTATCCTAACTCTTCCCATGCCCAAGTTTTTGCCTCAGCGACCATCTAAGCTGCATGCCACTTGGACTGCCAGTACCCATCAGCAGTTTCTGGGGTCCCACAGGCCAAAAAGGCCCGATAAGACTCCTTCTTCAGCCTAACGGCATCCCTCACTGCCAGTGTCCACCACCGGGTTCGAGGGTTGCTGCCGCAGCAGGCACTGACATCCTTGCAGTCACAGCTCCGGTAAGCCGCCTCGACAATAGAGGCACGGAACATGGCCCACTCAGACTCAATGTCCCCCACTTCCCCTAGAACGCCACCAACACTATTTATAGTGGAGGTGGTGTGCTGCTGGCCTCAACTCGGGATGTCGTGGATTGGTGGGATTGCTTCTCTGTTTTTTGCAGATTATGCGGTCCTATTGGCTTCATCAGGTCGTGATCTACAGCTTTCGCTGGAGCGGTTTGCAGCCGAGTGTGACGGGGCCGAGATGAGGATCAGTTCTTCCAAATCCAAGGCCATGGTCTTGAGCCGGAAAAGGGTAGAGTGCCCTCTCCGAGTCAGGGAGGAGGTCCTGCCCCAAGTAGAAGAGTTTAAGTATCTTGGGATCTTGTTCACAAATGAGGGAAAAATGGAGCGTGAGATCGATAGGCGGATAGGTGCAGCATCGGCAGTGAAGCGGGCGCTGTATCGGTCTGTCGTGGTGAAGAGAGAGATGAGTCAAAAGGCGAAGCTCTCAATTTACCGGTCGATCTACGTTCATACCCTCATCTATGGTCATGAGCTTTGGGTTGTGACCGAAAGAACAAGATCACAGATACAGGCGGCCAAAATGAGTTTTCTCTGCAGGGTGTCTAACCTCTCCCTTAGAGATAGGGTGAGAAGCTCGATCATCTGGGGAGACCCAGAGTATGGCCGCTGCTTCTCCACATAGAGAGGAGCCATTTGAGGTGGGTTGGGCATCTGGTAGGTTGGGGCAGGAGGTTAGGATGCCTCCTGGATGCCTCCCTGGTGAGGTGTTCCAGGCACGTCCCACCGGGCGGAGACCTAGAGGAAGACCCAGGACACGCTGGCGGGACTATGTTTCTCGGCTGGCCTGGGAACGCCTTGGGATTCCCCTGGAGGATCTGGCCCAAGTGGTTGGGGAGAGGGAAGTCTGGGCCTCCCTACTTCAGCCGCTACACCCGCGACCCGACCCCAGATAAGCGGAAGAGGATGGATGGATGGATGGATGGATGGATGGATGGATGGATGGATGGATGGATGGATGGATGGATGGATGGATGGACGGATGG